TATAATATTAGTATAGATTATGTGTTTTTTGTTGTAATACACATAGCTTTGGTGGTTGTTCGGAATAATACAACATTGGTTATAAGAAAATAGAACACACACTTAAACAGGTGTTTAGCAATTTTCTTTTTGTATTTTTTTTTTAAAGGCAACTCCCGCATTAGGTATATATCCTGTGTCGCGGGGGACTTTACAAACATATATGAAACGGACACAACGAACACCCAGACTCAGAACAACAATTTGTGGATCACACAAAGTGTCGTCCCATGTGGGGATCGAAGCCAACACTTTCTTCTTTTACGTATTTCTTTCTTTCTTTTTAGGGTGCCGTGAAGTACGGCACCCTAAAAAGAAATGGTAAAAAAAGAACCCTTATTAGATCACTTTCTTGTCCGTCTGTACGTGTGTCAACACCGATTTTCTCAGGAACCGGTAGGTTTTGGGTCGAAAACCTATATGGTAGTTCCTGTTGACCTAGAATCACGAAATTTGGCAAAAAACATGCGTCTTACAGTACAAATAAAGGAATAAAAAAAAATTGAAAATTAAGATAAATTTTAGTACTTACAAATTTTCGCGAAAATCTACGTAAAATCTGGGTAGGTACGGAACCTTCGGCGCACGAGCTCGACTCATACCTGACCGGTTTTTTATTTTATTTTATTAATTTATTTCTTTCACTTTAATTTTTTAATCTATGATCATAACAGAAACCTAAAATAAAAGCTTTTATTATTTTTTATATTTGTTTATGTTACTATTACAGTCAACACTAATAACTAGGAAACAAAAAATACCATAAACGCGAGCCGAGATTTTGGTCATAATATATGCAAATTTAATTCATTTTATCTAAGACTATTATTTCCGGCATACATAAAGCATGGTCGCCTATTACATAATATTTATGTTATAAAAATGACAACTAACTTATAATTAAAACCTGACAGTTAAATTAAATGAAATACCCACCTTATCTTATGATTTCCAAGCAACCTTTTATTGAGTGGGTAGAATATTTATTCATATATTATAGGACAATAGACTAGGAATATTTTTTGTAGATTAAAGCGAGCGGGAGGGACTTCAAGTGCGGCAACACGCACTTATGACTTAAGTTTCAGGTGTCCATGGGTGGCGGTAGTTGCTTACCATCAGATGAACCGTCTGCTTGTTTGCCCCCTTATCCCATTAAAAAGAAGATGTGTAATGCATATCCAGACAATATCAATAAGGTAGGTATGACATGTTTTTCTTTAGGTATTCACGTTACCTTCGCAGTATTGTAACAATTCTACTACATCTGTATACATGTACGTATATATTATTATAGTGTAGTTTAATCAGTAGTTATTCGTTGTATGTACTTCATTAAAATTATCGGTAAGTTTAAAATAACTACGTAGCATTCAGTTAGAGACTACACTAGTTACTTGTCATCATTAGAAAAAAAAACCATGTCATTGTTTTTTCATGCCTATGCAAAATTAAGAAAAAAACCATAGAGTTGGGAATTTTCTCTTTTTTCGTCGATTAAAAATAATAAACTACTAAAAAAAATACGGAGTTTATATCGATAACAGAAAAGAAAAGCATGAAATCAATTGCACTCAATGAAAATTAATGAATAACACATAAATCTCACCTCATTTAAATACCAAAAACAATTCCATTATCATAGCACATAACAGCAATGTTTTCAGTGAAGCACAATTTTTTTTAATTGTAAAGAAAAAAAAGCACGATAACACGCGAACTCTATCTGATTTAGTGATGAGACAATGTATTATTTGTCACGTTTTTGATAAAAAAAACATCAAAATAACACTGTGTCATACAGTAACGAATAAAATCGATAAAATGACGCGCGAAAAGCGTCCCCGCCCAAGCAATGCTGGTGCCGCACTGACTGACTGACATACCTACTAGTTGTTAAGTTTCAAAATGGCGAACATAGGTACTCGAGTTTGCGCAATGTATCTTTTGATCAACATTACTAAAAAGCAAGATCATCATTTTAGTCCGTAAATTTGTTAAAAACTTCAATATTTAACAGTGTTTCTTTAAATTATATTGTACAGAGCTGTAATTAACAGATATTAAGATGGGACGTGTTGAAAATCAATATTTACAAACGTATTGTGCCTTTATTGTGCTGCGGTATTTTGTGGTCGTTGACCTCTTGGAGAAAATAATGTAGCAAGTTCTTTCTCATTAATGTGATACTGTAAAATAAACGTTTTAATTACATAAAGAAATGATCTGAGATTAAAATAATGAAAACAATTCACAGATACAATATGTATTTGACGCTTAGACCACGATATAACGGTGAGGTATACGTGAAATAGCAATGGTTAAGCAAAGTTAACCAAGGTCAGTTTACAGATGGGTAACCGGTTAGAAAAGTTTACGTAAGTTTACGCTTATGAAGCTCGTTGAACTCAAATCAACTACAAAATCTTTACTTTTCTGAAACAGAGTATAGAGGCAAACGAGCAGAAGGTAGGTACCTGATGGTAAGTAGACACCTGCAACTAAGAGGACACAAGTGCGTGTCCGCCATTTAGTGTTCCACCCACTACAGAATTAGGGATTTGGAGTAAGTGAGTTGATTGGAAATACAGCCCGTATTTCCAATCAACTCACTTACTTCGTGAAAAACAGAGAAATGACTGCTCAACACGGATTTCTTGTAAGGCCGTATCACTCCAGTCGAGCCGGCCCATGTAAGCATCTACATACAATTCGTAGAACTTTTCTATTCACGTTGCTATCAGGTATATAATAAATTCACAATCACCTGTGATAAATCAATCGATTTAAAATTCATGCAATCACACCTGGCTTTATTTACAAAATCACTGCGACTTATGATTATGATTACTCTAGCGCCTGACTCGCGAAATGTATAAATCTAAAAAGGTTAGGTCTTTGATAAAAGAAAATTTTTAATTGGTTTTTTCTTTGCTTAAGTTTTGATGGCATGTATTTATCTTTGTCTATGACAAAATTACAGTAGTGATTTCTCACAGGGGAAATTGTAGTCCGGGGGTTGCGGCGAGAGCGTTGCGAAGCGCGCGCGCCCTTTCGGGAGCACAGAGGGAACATGGGGGTTCCCACACAGGGGGGGGTGGTCTACCTGCCGTAGATGGCCCGAGGTACGTCAGGGCACCAGGGATTTCATTTCTAGGTTACACCTGGTTCCCCGACTACGGGTACCTGAGACGGCGTGCGGTTTTAGTCGGTTCGAGTCCGACATTGCCACCGGTAAGTGGTATCCGAGGGGATTTCGGCACCGAAAAAAAAGTGGAAATTGCAGTGTCTATGATTATGATTTAAGCAGCATTAATTTCCATCACTAGTTACTATGTAATAAGACGATGTACGAGCCTACACTTTGTATATTTGTTACATCTAATCAGGAGAGTAGATAAGATTAAAAACAGAAAATAGATTAGGCATATTGATACATATGTTTTGATTCGTGATTTAAATTGTTATTATAAGACAGGGTAATGTAACTAATGCATGTGTGTAGTTTTGTCCGTGAGGAAATCCCCTCGAATACCCGGGTATCGGGTACCAGTACGTAGGTCACTATATAGGTTTTGAGATGCTCGAAATATTAAAATAGAACGCATCTCGGGGTACCAGGGCTTTCCTTCCCCCATACCAGGTTCCCCGGCTAGTGGTCCTTGGTGGATACCTGGAGACGGCGTGCGATTTTTGGTCGGTTCGAGTCCGACATAATCACCCCACTGGTGGGTGGTATTCGAGGGGAGTTCCGCACAGAAAAAAAGGCGAGTCTGCTTCTTCTCGGTCAACCATTTTTAGATGGTTTAACAAATTTAAAAGGGGAAAAACTGGCCTGGTGGACGCTCGCCGACCGCAGTGACTGCTGAAAATGGACTACTGAAATGCTTGTGCGAGATGACCCACGACTTACATACCCTGTACGTATGGGTAATCTTAGGAATTTAGGCGGCTAGTGTTTACACCATATTACATGAACATCTTAGAATGAGGAAGCTTTGTTGTCATTCGATTGTCGAAACGAAAAAAGAAACCCGTGTGGAATGGTGCCTCGAGATGCGTCTACGTTTTGAAACCGGGAGGTCAAGGCGTCTGAAATAACTACTGCCGACTAAACATGGATATATCAATATGATCCAGAAAGTAAGAAGCGTTCCTCAGTACTACTGTTTCCAGATGGCCAGATGCCAACAAAATTACAAAGACCGCGGAACATTCAAGAATCGGTTATTGAAACAGTGCCTCAGCCACCTTGCAATGATTTCTTTTTATTCCCCACCATAAAAGATATGAGAAAAGACAAGTTCCTTCCAAGTGCCGAAGAAGCGGTGGCTGCCTATGAATCTGCCATTTTTGACCCGAAGGAAGACTTTAATAAGTGTTTCCAAACTGGTTAAGGCGGATGGAAATGTTGTTCTTGTAAAAAAAACAATGTTGTTGTTTTAAGAGTAATAGAGAGTATTTAAAAAAAAATTGTAAGTACATATTTTTTACTTTTTTGCGTGTCGCAAAATTTATGTTGTGACCTACCTATTAGTGCATTCTACTTGAATTCACACATAATATTTCTACTATCATGATCTTGCCTAAGTTGGAGGGGCAAAGGCAATTCTCAACTGGCCTCACTAACTTAATGAAATCCATTAATATGGTATCTTAGTTCCAACTTTAATTGTTTGGTTTGAGCCCTTCCTCTGAGCCTGAGATAGACACGGGAAATCTGCATTCAGAAAATTTAGTCTACCTTGGGCCGTAAGCTGATTTAAATTACAAAATGGTTTTTACGTACCCTCAAGTGCATATACCTTTTTCAACACTTTTTCTCACAAATACCGTATCAAAAGTTGGCAACACTATAAGAAACTTCATTCAACCCCCTTGTCAAAAACAAAGTAATCAAATACTCGTAGTTTTGGCGGGCAATAGCTATACAATCACATTATTATTTTTGATATAGGAAAATGGCAGAAAAGCTCGAAGATCTGAATCTCCCTATGACTGTAGTTACAAGAATAGTTAAAGAAGCTTTACCGGAAGGTGTATCAATATCAAAAGAGGCAAGAACAGGGCTTGCAAAAGCCGCTTCTGTTTTCGTGTTATATGTGACTTCTGCTGCTACAAACATTGTTAAGAACAAGAAAAGAAAAGCTTTGACTGGCCAAGACGTACTGGATGCGATGCGGGATATAGAATTCGACAGATTCGTGGACCCATTAGCCGAATCCCTTGAACAGTATAAACTGATGGTATCTGCGAAGAAAGCAAGCTCTGGGAAGAAGAAGGACGAAGGGGACGACGTAGAGATGATAGAAGACGACTAATGTGATATTTAGACTATTAGTGTAAAGTGTATTTAAGTATTTGTTAATAAAGTGTTTTTAAGATGACTGTTTTGTTGACATAACCTATAAGAATGTCTCTATTCCTTTTAAAAATTGGAACACTTGGATACTACGCTAGGTAGGCTTTATGTAAGTTAAACATTATAGTAGCTATTGTGACTAACCTACGATCCTAACTAGTTGGATAGCCATTATCTTACTTCCACTTTAAAAAAATTATAAATACGAGTCAAATTTCTTTAAACATTAGTATTGTATGGTACTTAAAGTTGAAATAGTAAAATAACTCGCTGAACTGCACAACTTCGCCTACTTCTGACGCAATAAAAACTCAAAAGGAATAAATACATTTTTCATTGATACTCGGGTCCTATTGGCTATAGCATTATGTCATATTAGCCTATATCCTATCTCAATAAAAGGGCTATCCAATTCTAAAAGAATTTTTCAATTCAAATAAAAAAGTTCCTAAGATTACCCTAAACATACAAACTCACAAACTTTACCTCAGTATAATATTAGTATAGATAAAAAACCATTTAGGAAGTAATATAATTAAATAAATTTAGCCAGCATTTATTACAATGTATCAAATTGTGATGCAACTGTTAGCAGAACCAACATTAATTTCACTTAGATTGGAATCTTTTGGGTTACTTGGAGATATCTTTACAGAACACTGCAGTTAAATTAGAATTACTTGCAGTATGTATGACTATAAATTATCAGAGCTACAATGGGAGAGCCATAGGTGTGTTCGATGAAAGTAATCCTACGGCCTCACAGAAAACTGGCATTAAGCTATTGTTTTGTTGCTTTTTATTGAGTGATTGAGGTTCCCGGAGCTATAATGCCCCCCCTGGTTGACCCGCTGAGACACAAACACAAACCTTCTGGATATACTTTGAACAGATAAATAACATCATTCATATTTTGAGATTTTAAAGGCATCAACACTAGTTGCCATCAGACATACTGTATGCTGATATGCCAACTTAAAATACCTTGCCATTATGAACAGTAAACAAAGTCTATGTGATTACAAGCTATAGTTCAATACTCAATTACTGTTGTGACTACTGGATCACTGGTGCCTGGACTCAAATACTATACACCCTACGTCCATAAGACTGACATTTAGAGGCTGTTTGAGACAGCAAGAATGTATGTCTTCGTTGAAATGGCTACTTATAACCATTTAATGAAGCTCAATATAAGCAGATCTATATCCTTGTTCATGCAGGCTAATCTTCCCACAGTATCCATCTGTGTGGTAACAGATTAAGAATACAGAGTGTCGTAAGAGAAGACTGAGGGAGTAAATTCTGCAGGACAACAGAACAGCAAAGAGAAGGGAAAATTGAAGTAAACCCTATACCAACCCATCTGGCCAGCATGGTATAGTGGGCCAAAACCTTCTTTCTAAGGAGAGGCCTATGTCCAGCAGTGGACTAACAAAGGCTGTTGATGATGATGAATCCTTCCACAAAGGGATGGAAAATGCATAATTGATGATGCCTTACTCAGAAATTGGAGAGTTGTCGTCAGGCTGGTGCTTGCCTACAAAAGAAACCAGGCCAATTCCTGTGCAATGCACTGCTCTGATCCCAAAATAATTGACACAAAATCTGGAAGCAGTTGAAGGTGATGATATAGCACTAGCAGAAAAGCTTATATAGGAGAAATATGCTTCTATCTAAGCAGTGGCTGCCCTCGCCATTGCAAGGCCCGGGGCAGGTAGATCATTGCGAGGCCCTGGACTGGTAGATCACTGTGAGTCCGTTCGTCTTTGTGGAATTAGTTTTACAAAGAAGAGCGACTCGAATCGTCGATAGCCAAAAGATTTGCGACCGGCTCGATCCCTTGGCGTTACGTAGACATGTAGCTTCGCTCTGCATTCTCTATCGTATATATCATGGAGAGTGCTCCGAGGAATTGTTCGGACTAATATCGGCCGCAACCTTCCGCCATCGTTCCACACGGCTAAATTTTCATCGCCACCACTGGGATAATTGACGCTCCACCACTGTGCGCTGTGTGACTCTAGGCGTTCATGGGCGGCGGTAGTCGCTTTCCATCAGGTGACCCGTCTGCTCGTATTCCACTTATTCCATAAAAAAAAACATATTTGGAACAAAAAATGCTACCCAAGGCAAACAGCTGCTCGAACATAAAAGCATATGCCAAGGACAATTGACACTGGAAGCCTGTCAGACAGACAGGCAGAACGAAAAATTCGAGGCACTAAGGGGTTCCCACACAGGGGGGGGGGGGTCATCTATAAGCCAGGTACCAGGGATTTCCTTTCTAGGGTACACCTGGTTCCCAGCTACTGGTACCCGAGACAGCATGCGGTTAATAGTCGGTGCGAGTCCGACATAACCACCCACTGGTGGGTGGTATACGAGAGCATTTCCCTACAAAAAAAGGGCATACATATATTTCTTAAATGAACATACATATGTATATCCATTGTCCTGGGTGATATCAAATCCACGACATCTGGTTCGCTTGCAGTCACTCGATCAACAGTATATCATAAGACTGCTACTAAATAATATTCCATAGGGTTTTACAAAAAATAAAACAAAACGTTTTATTCGTCACTTTATTTGGGAATAAAATCTGTTCACAGACAATTTCGAAACAACATCGAACTGACAATTTACCGCAGGGCACTACTTCGAGCTACACTTGTTATGTATTTACAATCATCCACCGTTACATTCCTACCTACCGTCTGATATAACGAAAATAAATATTCATATCTCTAATTTGTCATTTTCGAATGCTATTATAATCTAATTTATAATTTCCTCTGATTATAATCTTTTTTAACTTTTACCATTAATACTATCAATTTTATTAGAGAAAAATGGAAAGATCTTATTCTAAAATAAATTGTCAATATTTTTGTACGACCTATTCATAGAAACTACAGGAAGCAAAGCTAAAAACCTATATTTAATTTTAAAAGATTATATTTCGTGGTAACACTGAACTGCCAAAAGTTGAATTTTTGTAAGTTTTAGCGGCCGATAACTTTTTTCCAAACAAGAGTATTTTGTGAGACGTGCGTTTCCCCTATTTTGATTTGCACCATTTACGTTCAATTGAAATTCGGTTAGGCTGCCAAACGGACGGACGTAACTTCGGTTACTATCCAACGTCACCTTAAGCTTGGTTGAAATAATAATAATAACTTCACACACGGTAGTCTTAATAAATGCGCGCGAGTCTGCAGACAACTTATTTGGCTCCGCTGTTTGGCACAAGCAGGACTTAAGTATGAAATTAACTGCAGCGTAAATTCTGCTATTCATTTTAACCGACTCATGTCTCAAATAATTACGCTCGTTTGGCCTAACCCGAAGGGTTGACAGCAATGCAACTTTATGAACGTGCATCAAAATAAAAGGAAAATTAAGTTTTTCTTTATGTTACTCTAATTAAATCAGTTTCATTACTGTTTACAGTACTTAAACGTCATGTAAGTTTCATTTAAAATCTCTCGTGATATACCTGCATTGAGATCACACATAATCATAGAGTGAACAAGAGCCCTAATCTTGCAAGATAGGCGGCAACAAGAGAGATGGATAATAGATAGTCTTCTCTATCTCTTTCTAGTCGAGGTCTGTGGTTGCCCGGGGTACCTACCTGTACGGTTGCCCGGGGTACCCCTATATGAGGGGTTAATAAGTAGCTTAGCTGAACAGAGACAGAGGGAAATATAGGGCATCCATCTCTCTCGTTGCCTGTATTGCTTCCACTTACAGGTACCTGTACCCCTTGTTCTCTCTATGCACATAATAGACAATTATATGTAAAATGAGTTAGAAAATAATATTTTAGATTTATTTATATCTGTAATCGTTAAGAAATGAACAACATTTCAGAGCATTTTATGCTAATTTTACGTCTAGACTTTTATATTATTGGATTTTTAATAGACTTTTCACGCCAGACTTTGTTTTATATATATTTTTAAATTCTAAAGAGTAGATAATTATTATCATCGATAATTTTGATTTGTTAGTTACATTTTAATTCAAAATCTACTGGCTTTAATTTATTTTATCGAAGACTGATAAGTTGACAATATCGAATAAATGTACTTTTTTAATGAATAATCTCATTAGACTGAAATACTAAAATATTTAAGCTTATAGTGCCATTTAATGTTGTTGTGTATTTCTATGGAATATAACCTAAACCTATAATTTGTATAAGCAATTTCTTCTATATAGGAACATTTTTGCGTGACCAATTCGACGGACGAATTCCTTTGGGTGTTAAGAAAGCTTTCAGTCTTTGGAAACAGATTCGGCAATCCCTGACAAAGACAAAAATCTTCATCTTCTAATGGTAAAACTACACTATCTGAATACAGTAACTAACAAATCAAAACGTCTGTTAATTTCAGTACTGGTGTTCTAGTGTTTCTTTAAGTCTATTATTTCAAAATATACCTACAAATACATCTAAATACTAAACGGGACTATACGACCACAATATTTATACGCTATCCAATTTTCCTTATTACAGCCATTCACAGTCTAACTGCCAAGCGTTTTGGCATATTCCATGCTTGAAGACCTTACTAACAAGTTTATTAGTTTAGAATACCAAATATTTATAGTCCATTCGCTTTAAGAAAATAGTCAGACATCAAAACCCCCCATGACCAAAACGTTCCAAGCTTTCGTGCGAAACGATAATTTCTTGGAACCTGATTGGTCACGGGACTTTATCGATACGTCACTATTCTCTTAACGTGAATAAACTTTAGTTCCTTTTTGGACAAAATATTTTACTTTTGAGATGAAATTGACAGACAAAACTTTAGTTGAATAATATACTTTATAATAAGGTCTGATGTATGAGACATCAAAAGAGTTTGAACATTGTTAGAAATTATCGCTACTTTAGCTCAATAGTAATATCATTAACAAGACGTTTCGAGTTATTTTTCTCTCACCTCATTATTTTCATTACAGTAATGTACACTCACATATTAAACAAAAACTACATCATTATAGTTTTTTGTTACTTTTTTGTACAACTGGAATAACTCAACCATTTTGTTTTTAATTTTATTTACGATAATTATATTTCGCAAGCTGCAAAATTTTATACCTGTATTTAAAGACTGAGTGTATATATTATCTTCATTGGCTTATTAAGTATGACTATATGAAATAAATGTGTTGAAAGGCATAGGCATAAGGCATTTACATGTTGTCTAATTTCTACTAACATGTAAGTTATGTGATACAGTACCATCGAGGTACAGTAGCCACAACGAAATATGAGTAACCTTAGAAGGTCAGTTTATATCTACCCTCGATCTCACAAATCTCATAAAAGACATTCTCGTAGTAAACTATTGCCAAGACTAGCAGAATACCGATACAACTTTAGGTCGCAATACGATATAATCACATTATATTCAACGATTGATGTTTAACACTTTACTACGAGAATACCCTTTGACATTATGAACGAACTTTTTTTACGTGAATTGACCTGCAGAGACCACGATTTTAAATTAAAGCAGTTTAATTACTCGGACAAATTACATATCATTTTCATTTCGCAATAGATGAAATTACTTTTAAAGAAAACATAAAGTCTATGAAGAAAATATGTGTAAATTAAAAATAAATAAAGGTAAACAAAAGAAAAACAAGATTGTATGAAATAATGTTTATTGGGAGGTATAAATAAAAAGGATTATTAAAAAGCGAAACATACTGCGATTATTTTCTCACTCTGACAATGGAACCTTTTTAAATTTCATGTGCTTATTGCACCTACTGTTGTTTAATAAGGTATAAAATAAATCATACCAGTGTTGCTATACTTATAAAGAAAATATTTTTCACTGGTAGCCCAGTAAAATATTACAGTATAACATATATTATTTTCAATCTAGTGAAACCAGCCTTTAAAAATCAGTCTGACGGATTATTTATACATCTTATTTGCAGTTTAATTAATTTACAATAAAATATAACATTCCCTTCACTATTTTCCATTTTAAAAACATAATAATTAACTAATGCATACGATATACATCCGTCATGACGAATATTAAAAACCTACTAATCTCACGAGTAAATTGTTAAAAGCGGCACGTGACTAAACACAAATTGAAAGAAATCACTATTTTACAATCAGCTTTGTGTATCAATCCACTAATACATGAACAAATAACAGTTATACCTGGACTTGTAACAATGGCAATTGTCTCTGGTTACACTTCTTATAATGGTCGCAGTATCATTAAAATATATCCAGTCGAACGATCAAACTGTTATGATCGTGAATAATAGAGAAAGGAAATCGACATCACAAGTTAAGAATTTCTTTACATAATTTTTTTACAGATTTTTCTTAACTCGGGTCGACCATCTAATTGTCAATATCGCCTTTAAAAAAATCAGTTACATTATCTATGGCTAACGGTATTATACAATTGCACTAAAACTAAGTGGAATAATCGTTATATTTACAAAAAAAAAAAAACAAAAATACACAAGCTTTCGTTCAAAAAAATTCTACGTTTAAATTATTTTGTAAAAAATGTCTTTTAATATTTTTTTTCGTTACACGTTAAATCACATACTGCGATATAAATATTAAACAATGAATAAATAAAAATTACTATTTATATTTAAAATATAGCGAGTAAAAGGTCTGTTAACAGTTCATTTTAAATTCTAGGGTGTATTTCTAAATGTACTAAATATGATCTTCAATATCAGTATTTTGTAAAAATGTACTGTCACAGATTAATTAATAATTTTAAAACCATATTTAGTACATAAGACACCATCTTTTTGTTAAATAACATTTTAATAGTTGTTAGACATTAAAACAACATATCAATATTTCCATTTCAGTTAAAACAGAACAGCACGTCTGATACTATTTCCTTAGCAGCGATTGATACTTTTCATTTTGACAGTTTTGACAGCTGTCAAGTGTGATGAACTGTAAACTTATTGAAAAAAAAACACTACAAGATCATATTGCAATTGTAGAGAATAAGCCTCATTTAAAGTTATCTGATGATTAAATTGAACCCGCAGTTCAAGGCTCATTAGGTAAACGAACTGTCAAAACATCTAGCAATAGAAGCTGTAATATCTATATATTAGAAACTTTAGATTTACTTAGATATCCAATAAGGTTTAAAATTATTCAAAACGTATGCAGCGTATTACGTAATGGATTGCTTTCGACAGTTAGGGACAAAGGGAAAGCCGCAAACAACACAGATAGAATCACGGTGTACTCTATCATCACACACTTTTTTCTAGCCTTTTTTTCCCAACTACGATTACAGCGATTACTCCATTATAAATGTGCTGTCAGTCTAATCGACAAATAAGAATATTAACTGTCACGAGTGATGTTAATTGTAATTAAAATTATTCGTTTTTTTTTATTCGCCCACTTTATCGATGGCTAAAACAATGCGTTGGGGTCTCACACCACAGAAATAACTGGACACACTGGCAATACACACGTGATTTATTTAATTGACAAATGGCAAATACGTCAGCCAGCTGTCATAAGTGTCCGGATTTTAAGCCAGACCCGCAAAATAGCCCGCCTTTTTATTTTACGTCACTGGGGGCCAGACGAGCAGACGGGTCACCTGATGGAGAGTGACCATCGCCGTCCATGAACGTCTGCAACTCAGGAGTCACAAACGCGTTGCCGGCATTTTAGGAAGGAGTACGCTCTTTTCTTTAAGGTTTGAAGGTCCGCCTAAAAGTTACTTATGAATTTCTGCTTAGGACATATTTGTTTAATACATGATAACTAACATTAGGTTAACATTAATTTATAATAACGTTTGGTAATCAACCTTATTGCTTTTCGGAATGATATACTAAAATGGCAGTGATATTGGATTTAATTAAGTAATCGACTTATATTTATTAATATTGTTTTATTTACTCAACTGTTCGACTATTTGGTATTGTGACAGGTACTTGGTTCATGCGGTTTTGACATTAAAAAAGGCGGGATGTTTTAATGTTGCCAACGTTTAAACTTTTTATTATTGAAAAAATATTTTTTGAAATTTGTTTGTAAGCAGTCGAAACTAAGATGAGTTAAATAATAAAAGTTGATAATGTATGGTAAATATAGATTTTTATTGTCTCTTATAATGCGCCTCGTAAAGTTGAAGATTGGTTGCGTTATTGTGTGATTGTTATAGATCTTTAATAATTTAATACCTCAAGTTATATAAGAGAGGGAGTTTTGTATGTTGCTTTTGTTATAAAAGCTATCAACCGGATCTATACCTATCTTTTAACAATTATTCGTTGTTCTTTGTTGGGCGCCCCTGAAATGCTCAAGTAAAGAGTCTAATTAGGTCATCTGCTGGTACTGATTTCATAACTGGGTCTGATGACAATATTTATTTGTAGTTAAATCAAAATCCTTATTTGTATGGACCACTATACACTTTATGTGTACTTGAAATTAATATCACGCTTTATGCGAGTTCAAATAAACGCTTTTACAAGGATTTTAAATGGTTGTTTTTGTTTGTATACAATTTAAAAAGAAAAAAACTCAAAGTTTTATATAGCATCATTACTTCAAACAAACTTTCCTTCGTTGATAAATCATTGTATGCAAAATTGAGTTGTAATACAATGTATTAGGATTCATTATAATTATTAACAGTTGTGATTATCTTTGCAACTACCCGCCGGATTTAAAAAAATCTTTCCGTCTTTGTAAAATCTATATTTGAAGATTATTTATTTTGTAACATTACGCTATGACACTTAGGAGAGGAGCAGACATAAAACGCCATAAAACTTAGGGCACTTTTCTTTAAATTTTATACTAAGGCTTTCATCATATTCTAGATGAAGATCTATTGAGGTAGTTGGCCCTCTTCTTGAACTTAGAAGGGACTTTCGAGGACATTTATTTTTGTATAATGCCCTCGTAACAATTAGCACGCAGCAAGAAAATCAGTATATAAGTAAGACATCATGTTTAATATTTGTTACCAAGTGAAAAAATCTCTTATGTTTCCCGAAGACCACTAGTACTTGTTACCGCATCGTACTTGGACTTCGGAGTGCTGGGTTTGAGTTCCGATCATAGTGTTCTCAGTATGAGGCTTCGTGTCCCGCTAGTATGTAGAGATCATTCCCGTCTTCGCTCGTTAGAGTGTTGCTTTGAAGCGTGTGTGATTCTAGAACTACCACCCTGAAAATTAAAATAATATTAATAACTTTACACATCTCACACACGGCTGTCTGATCCCAAACTAAGCAGAGCCTGTACTATGGTAACCAGACTGCTTATAAACATACTTAAATATTGTTAAATACATGATGAATGATCGTGCTTGTCTTATAATTATCTGTCCTGGATGGGAATCGAACCCACGCCCTCTGGATTAGCAGTCAGTATCACTAACCATTAGACCAACAGTTTGAAATGTTTTTTTTTTTGACAACTCCCGCATTAGGAATATATAATGTGTCGCGGGTGACTTCACAAATATACATGAAACGGACACAAAGTACACCCAGACTCAGAAAAACATTTTGAACGAACCCACAACACTCAGCGTAGTAAGCGGCGTGGCGACCGCTTGAACCAGTACGCCATCCGTGCAGTCGATATGTATATATTGCACGAAAAACAGTAATTTGATGATAGATAAAATTATTTAGCAAATAGGTATTTTTAAACATAATTTAGCGCTCTATAAAACTAGAAGGTGCTGGAGAAGTATCGCTGAAGCAAATTCAAAGATATAAATTTCAAACGGTGATCTTTATCTTTACGAGAGGACCATTTTACTTATGAGTTTACCAGTCACGATTCAGTAGATTAGATAAATTTATAACCACGGAACCCAACCATATATGAGGGAGCATATCCTACCAGTACAAAGATGGTAATAGGTATGTAATTTGTTGTTCATTTGTTTGTAACTCCTTAACTATTGAAGTGAGAATTAAAAAAAAAGACGCAAAGGGCTTTTTTAGAGGGTTTCAAAAATATTTTGAACACAAGCGAAACCGAGGACCACAACAGTAGTAAACCTAAACCAATTGGTAGTAAAGTAGGTACTCACTTGTCGTGTGGCAAGAGCCTGTAGGATCGTGAGTGGTCCGTGATCTCCTGCGTGATCTCCGCGTTCCGCAGCGACCGGCCTTGAACCCCGTGCCGGTGGAAGGCCAGCACCGAGTCCGCCAGGCACACTGGACACACAGACAACATACATTGCTACGCTAACAATAATATTTTGTGACACCTGAAAGACCAACGCCAGAGCCTGAACCAGAGTGCTGAAAAAATCACTATATCACTAAATACACATTACCCCACTGTCTTCTTACCGCATTGTCAAGTGTACAAATACTAACGTAACACAATTTTCGTGTTTTCGTGGTGACCTGGTGTCCTGAAATACGGGCCTACGTATACTGCCTAGTTAAGGCACCAGTTTCCCACAATATTTTAATTACATTGTACTGTATATTGTGATGTGAAAAAATTAACTATTATATATATATCACTATACATTATGATCACTCTTTCTATCTGGGTATGCCTAGACAGAACAAGTGATCATCCTTATCAAACAATTATGATCCTGAGGGGTATCGAACCCACGAACTCAGGCTCAGCTCTGCAAATTTAATTAAACTCTGAAACTTGAAACCCTAAAAACGATTTTTTATCTTTGTTTTTTAATGCACTTAGCGGGGGGTGGAAAACCGAACCATTGCGTGATATATTGCGTCAAATAAAAAATACAACGACAACTTACATATGCTGTCGATATTGAAATCAAACTGTATCCTGTTGAGCAGTTTCCCCCTCCGCTTGTCAGGCTCCTGTCTCCAGCGGGAGTCCACGGAGGCTGGCAACACAGGGATTATATCCACCACGTTCTCATGGCACACCAACACCTGAAAACGAAACACCAACCATATCCACATATAAAATGACACCATTTAGTCAAGACAACCGAACTACATCATGATTATAGATCCTGGATCGCGCAATGAGAGTTAAGATCATTAGGTGCTGTCACAGAACCTTAGCTCCTGTTCTATTACACTTGCAAGTGTGAAATACTGACCGAGTCTTTGTTGAGTTGGTGAACTGCCCGCAGTGTGTGTAGCCGCTCCGGCCGAGGTATCACCGTGTTGGACCCGCCCACACACGCCTCCAACTCGTCGGAGTGGAACCAGCTGGCACCTGAAGTTAATACAAATACTTGTTAATAATGGGGTTTATTTTTTTCAATTTTCAGTAGGAGATACTCAAAATCGGGCAGTCACTCTTCTTACACATTCTTTATTCAAACAAATATGACAACATTTACATAACATATATAGTCCATTCGTGTTAAGAAAATAGTGACGTATTGATATAACTCCGCGCGTTAACTAATCAGGTTCCAAGCTTTCGTCCGAAACCATAATTTCTTAGAACCTGATTGGTTAGGGGGCGGGGCTTGATCGATGCGTCGCTATTTTCTTACACTACTTGTTTACACTTTCAAGTTTCGTGTTTTACACAATACAATAAAGAATATTCAATTCCATAAGTTTTTTATGTTAGAGAGGCAGCAGACGCGTAACCTGATGGAAAGTGACCGTCGCCGCCCATCCACGTCTGCAGTTAAGGAGTCACAGACGCGTTGCCGGCCTTTTAGGAAGGAGTACGCTTTTTTCTTGAAGGTCGTATCGGTCCGGAAACACCGCAGACGATAACCCGTTCCACAGATTGGTTGTGCGAGGCAAAAAGTGTCTCGAACAGCGCACAGTAGTAGAACGACAACTATCCAGGTAAGGAGGATGAAAATTTTGCCGTGTGGAACGATGACGGAAAGTTGCGGCCGGTATTAGTCCGAACAATTAATCGATATAAGTATATAAATATAAATAAAATGCTGATGTTAATCTTTGTCATCATGAGCTTACCAGAATTGATGTTGAGCAGATTCAGCCTCATGGGTTTCCTGGTGGCGCCTACGCAGAGTAGGGGGTACTCCAGCTCAGGAGTGATGATCAGCTCGAAAACCAACAGCGGAGAGGGTAAAAGACATTCTATGTTCTGTAAACATGTTGATAAATTGTTAAGTATATCATAACAACCGCAAAAACGATTTTTTCTAGTTTCTTTTATAACGTGCGTCTGCCTGACGTTCAACCCTACCTGGGGATGTAATTGATTTCAGACAGAACCAAAACAGAGGTAATTACGAAGTACAACAGATAGGACTAAAGTAACGTGGTATGTGAATCTACGAGTGAATATAAATAAAATTCAATATCCACTTACTGTTATAATTAAATTGTCCATACACAACAAGTTAAGTATAACGTAACGTAATAGTAATATAAAACACAGAAGGAGTACAAACAGGAGACACACAATGCACAACACAATACAGAATAATTGTCCATACACAAGACGTTATACTATATATAAAACACAGTTCGAAATGACTTTATTATGCAGATGCCAGTAGAAATGTAAACAATAACCTGCGCACGCGCAGGCTGTAAGGGGGCTATGGACCAACTAACTTTACGAACGAAAGTTCTGGAGCGAACACACTCGGCACTATAATGTACTACTCTGTGTAAAAAGTATTGGGAATATGTCAATAAAAAGACCCGCGTAAAAGAGGTCGTTCTAATTTTTTTACTGCATGTTGGTAGCACTGTACTGATTAAGCGCGCAAATTTTGAGCGGGATCTGTCATTTAATTTGTTTTAAACTACACTTTTTGTTGGTGATAGTTTTGAGTCCTCGGCGATTTTTACAATGGAAAATATTGTTGAACAAAGAGTGCGCCTTAAATTTTGTGTTTCGAATGATATTTCTTGTGGTGAATCACTAAAAATGTTGCGAAATACCTACGGCGAATCGTGTATATCGAAAACAAGGGCTTATGAATGGTATAAGGCTTTTAAAGAAGGCCGAGAAGTAGTAGTAGACTTGCCTCGTTCTGGTAGACCTTCAACCGCTACGACCAAAGAAAACATCGACAGAATCAAGAAGCTAGTGCTCGAAAATCGACGTATGAGTCTGAGAGAGTTGGCTAGTGAGGTGAACATATCTTTTAAGTCCGTCCACAACATTCTCATTGACAATTTAGGCATGAAACGCGTCGCCGCTCGACTAGTTCCAAAAGAGCTTAATTTTGTTCAAAAAGCGCAGCGAAAGCATGTCGCTGAAGACATGGTTTCCCGAGCTTCTACGGATCCGACCTTTATGCAACGTATAATAACTGGCGACGAGACATGGGTTTGTGAGTACGACATGCAAACAAGCCAACAGTCTTCAGAATGGCGTCTCGAAAACGAGCCGAAACCAAAAAAACAGCGGCAAAGTCGCTCCAAAATCAAGGTGATGCTGACAGTTTTTTTTGACTACCGTGGTGTGGTTCACTCCGAATTCCTTCCAGAGGGAGAAACAGTGAATAAAGAATATTATTTAGGCGTCATGAAGCGTTTGCGTGAGAGTATCCGCCGAAAAAGTCCAGATTTGTGGCAACACAACTCATGGATGCTGCACCATGATAATGCACCATCACACACAGCCATTATAGTGAAAGAGTTTTTAGCGAAAAATTCAACAAAAGTTCTGGACCAAGCACCGTATTCACCTGATATGGCTCCGTCTGACTTTTTTTTATTTCCCAAGTTAAAATTACCACTTCGAGGAAAACGTTTTGAGTCGATAGAAGCCATAAAAGAAAATTCGCTGAATGAGCTAAAGGCCATACCGCAAGTAGCCTATGAAAAATGTATGAAAGACTGGGTGAAGCGGTGGAGATGTTGTATTGCAAGCGATGGGGCCTACTTTGAAGGCGATAAAATAAATTTAGATGAATAATTTGTATTTTTTGTTTTATTGACAAATTCCCGATACTTAGTACACAGAATGTAAACATTACAGGTGCCGTGAATGACTTGAGTTTGTTGTGTTGTTTTGTGTTTTTATCATAAATGTTAATATACTACGTGGTAGGGGTGACCCCTACAGGACGATGAAAGGGTTGCCTTATTTTAGCTTCGTCGCCCTTTGATAATACAAATAAACGAATATCTATCTACTTTTTGTTTAGATATATGTATCTGACGCAATTTCCTAAGAAGTGTTAATTTTTTTTGACATACCTTTAGCAGCATAAACTTCCTAAGCGGGTCATACCACTGCATGAGGAACAGCCCCGCAGGTGTCGCTCCGCACAGGTACTTGTAGCCGTTGTACGGGTTTCGAGCCACCGCGCAACGCGTACAACCTGGCCACACCAAATATATATTATTTTAGTATGGCAACATTCCTCTTAATTATCAGAATACTTTAATGATGGTTTGTTTTTTAAACATCTATCTGTCACTGTAAAGATATAATTTTGTGGGTTCCTAATTTATACCTTACAAAACGAAATATGAACAATGTTATTTATTACCTTAAATTTATGCTACTATAACATAAATTTAATACCAATACATATTATTATTTCATTTTTTTTATTAACGTAAAACCAACCTTATCTTTAAAGCAGACAAATAAATATATACCACTGCAATTCTGTTGATAAAAGCTCTGCTTACAGATTTTGCTGTATTACATACCTCTTGTATCTGGTACTCTAGTCGTAAGTGCAAATCTTCTAGGCAGTAACCGCGGTGGTAATACCCTAAGAGATCGTCCACCACGTGCGCTGCCAATTAATGCTAATAATTCGTGCCTGTACAATGAAGGGGTCTTGCCTGCGAACAAGAGTTTGAATAGCTAAGTTTTTGTTTAAATAAATATAATGGACCTAATGTTAAGCCTAGGGGTACACCTCATTTTATATGTGTTCTTTCTTATATGTTAGAGCCTGTCCATAATTTATAATTGGGATTAGTAATGGTTTATTTGGTTTTTAGTACTTTAAGTACAATTAACACCAAAATATACAGTTAAATTACAAATTAGTGGCAATTAAAGGATGGTTAACACAATCAAATACTATTGTTGGTACATTTTATATCATGATACGTTCACATTTTATAACTATAAATTGTTAGTTCAATTTCTGTAATTTTGATCTCCATCATAGTTAAGAGCAGTTGAATTGGTATTTCTCATTGATTATTTAAGTATTTCCTTTTAAGTTACTTACCAGAGAGAGACATGAGGACATCTTTGATAACATGCAACCATATTGTTCGTCTTGGACATAATTGGTCCATTGCCGTTTCATGTAATTCATTCAGGTTTAGTGTGTAGATGCCTTCTTCCGCACCTGCAAATCAAAATATTGCCGAGTCCATTAGTTATGGCTTTTATTATGGCACATTTTAAGGGTCTAGATAGTCACTTACCGATTAGCAGATGTTGATCTCTCGTATCCGGATGTATCCACGAGGCTGTACAATTTATTCTCAAGGGACATCCATTGAATACCTGCAAAAAGATTATCAGTAAAAAAAATAAAATTAAGTTTCCCAAGGCCTTCGAACGTTATCGTTTGTAAAAACAATTCAAATATCAATTTTTTCCGAACGGATCGGGTAGATCACCCCGGAAAAGTTGGAACTATAAAAATAACTGAAACGAGAGCTGAAGATTGTAGCGTTTAAGACATAAATTTTACTGTTTTAAATACTATAATCATCAGTTCAAACGAAAATTATTGTAATTAAGATCCTTACCTTAGAGAAGCACGCCCCCATGTGCACCTTGGGCGTGGGCGGCAGGCCGTTGGGCGCGGCGCGCGCCGGGCTGTGCGCGCGCCGCGAGCGCGAGCGGCGCGGCGGCACGGGCGGGGTGCCCGCCTCCACCGACACTATAAAGTCGACAAATTATTATTGTTTTTCTAGGAAGACCGACGAATAACATGTACGTTTTAGTACGTACCTTTGTTATCGACTTTGGCTTTATCTCTCTGACTATCGGACAGACTCCTCTGTCTCTGACTAGTCTTTCCCTCCTCGTCGATGGTTTCCGCCTTGACGTCCCGTCCGTTCTCGTCGACCATCTTGAATATCTCGTCGACGGACGAAGTTTTTCTCTTCACGTCTAGCTCGCACTGACAAAACTGATTAAGATCGATGCCTGGGGTGACGGAATCCGAGTTATGCCTATTATGTTTCTTCCTATGTTCAAATTTCTCGTCCATATTCATACTTATATCGATTTTCCTACAGAGGTCGTCGTCCGACGAGCCGCCGTTGTGTAATTTATCGTCTTCGGATATTCGTAATCTATTCGCGATTTGTAAAGCCCTAAAGTTTGATACGGATATCTTTTGCTTTTTACAATGCTCACAGTACACTATGCCCGAATCGGTATTTTGGTTTGAACAGTTTCTGTAATAGCTAAGTATATCTCCGTTCGAATTGCATACGTCACAAGAACACTGGACCACAGATCTTTGTAGATCGCTTAGAGTGTTATTGTCTCTGGGTTCCGGTTTAGGGCACAGTCCACATTCGCAGTTGGCGTTTCTTAGAGGTGTATCTATATGTTCGCTTTCTAGTTGATCTACGTAAAGTATATCTTCACCTATCTTCCGACAAAGAGGATCATCAATAGATACCCTAGAAGCAGCGATGGGACTGACATTCGAGGCGAGATTTTGGTAGATATTTGTAGTAGAATTATTAAGGAAATTTTGTTTCAGTTGTATGCATTGTGAAAGATGTTGGTCGTGGATCGATAGCGCTGAATTGCTGGCTTGCGCCATCGAAGCAGTGTCGGCGGTAAGAGGTAGAGTTGCCCTGTAAAAAATATAACATTGGTAGATTTTGGTAGGTAATTGTTGAAGGTTTTAGTATTTTTTGGAATCGCAGTGCTGTTAGGATCCGAAGCTTTTTGAGTGCGGTTAGACACAAAGGTGGGTGATAATAAGGTTTTTAGACAAGCATTTTTAACTTATATCTTATGGTGTTAAATAACAAGTGGTGCTGGTGGGATTTATTCATGTTTATTGAGGATTTCAATAATTTATACCATCGTTTAAGGGACATGGATTTGGTTTCTGCTTTATTTGTTTAAATTTTAAGCTGCAAAGCTGCGTTTATTTTTTATTTCAATACATGCTTCATGCTACGACTACGCTCTAAAAGCAATTTCAACTTTGTCCATTGCTTCTGACACATTTGTAATCTACTTTTTTGCAACAAATTTTCTGTTTTTTACAGACTTTGAAGTAACTGAGTTAACATTAGTCTAAATCTCGATGTAATCGATAACTCTTAATTTTTTATGTCAATTTTTAAACTGTCGTACCTAATTCAAACTCTGTGTGTATATGTAGCTAGAATGACAAAACTATAATTTTTGCATCTTGGATTCAGATCCATCCATCCATCCTGAAGATTTATACAATCTAGCTCCATCGTCGGATCAGTCCGATGATGGAACCAGGTTGTATAAATCTTCAGTGAATAATAGTATATCTTAAGAATTTAAGCTTCAATGATTTGTTTTCAAAGCAATTCAACCATTGAGCATGTAAGGAATGCTTTGATAAGGAAGATTTTTTCTTATTTTAACGTTTTAATATCAGTTTGCTGTAACAGTGTTTTTTATTTTACTAAATTATAAATGTTGAGTGCTTAAATAAAGTGATCATAGTAAAAGAGAGGAGAGACTAATTTAATTTGATTTCAAAGACCCAACCCAATCTGACCAATCAGGTTTTACGTACGGTAGGTACGCCACGATAATTTCTTGAAACCTGATTGGTCAAGGGGCGGGGCTTGATCGCTTGATCGACGCGTCAGTACTTTCTTAACGCGAACGGACTAAAGTGACGTGCTTACATAATATATTGGAATATAAATAACATAATATTAGTAAATAAACTATTTGTGATTTATTTCTTTAATATTTTCTGTTTCAGATATAAGAAGGCCTAAATATGTTAAATGTTACGTTACTATAAAGTCTGTAAAATACAATTAGTTTGTAAATTTTGCCCTTATTTACTACCTCAATCTATTAAAACAAATAATCTACACACAAGTAATTATTTCAACCGCTATACTAATAGTAGTTGTTCGGAATATATTATTTTTCCTACATTATGACAAAGTTAAAATTACAATGTATTTGGATTGCTTAATAGTTAGAGTACCCTTCCGTCGCTAATATCTTTAAGAAATCAATTTGGCAGGCCTGTTGGTCTAGTAGTTAGTGACCTTGATTTCTAAAACAGAGGTCGTGAGTTCGATTCCCACCCAGGACAAATAATTATGTGATGAGCACGGTCATTTGTTGTGTCTGGGTATAATTTATCTATATGTGTGTATTTAGAAATATACGTGTGTTTATTAGGAGTCTGGTTAGAATAGTGTAGGTTCTGCTTAGCTTGGGCTCAGACGGCCGTGCGGTTATTAATTAAAATATAATTTAAAAATTAGAGTAGAATAAGTAGTAAAAGTGAGGATAGATAGATATAGCTATGACCGCGTTGTCCGATCTTCGGTCTCAGAGAAAATAACAGTCCGGGTCGTCCGAGTAGTAAAGTAGTGTTTAGACATCGAATCAACAGGAAAAAAATCGTATTAAAAAAAACTTTAGCTCATCTTATTTTTTTTTCATACAGAAAATTGATCTGTATATATTTGTTATCTGTTAAAAATTACATCATTTGCGAACCAATTTAGAAAATCTTCTCTGGAATATAATGGGAAAAACCCCCTCTTCTGGATAATTATATATGCATTGTCGCCCTTTTGAGTTCCACCCCAGAGTGGGGGCAGGGGGGGGGGGGGTTTGAGGCTCCGGTAACCTCACTGGTGGAAAGCACCTAAATAATTGCACTGACTGCACGGATGGCGTAGTGGTTTAAGCGGTCACCACGCCGCTTCCTACTACTCCGAGTGTTCTGTGTTCAAACCCCACATGGGACGACACTTTGTGTGATCCACAAATTGTTGTTCTGAGTCTGGGTGTTCTTTGTGTCCGTTACATGTATGTTTGTAAAGTCCCCCGCCACACAGGATATGTTCCTAAGGCGGGAGTTGTCTTTAAAAAAAAATACGAAAAGAAATTGCTAAACACCTGTTTAAGTGTGTGTTCTATTTTCTTATAACCAATGTTGTATTATTCCGAACAACCACCAAAGCTTTGTGAATTACAACAAAAAACACATAATATAATATATATCATGCATTCGTAAAACCTCAGATATTACCTGAGCATTAATTCTTCGTCAATATATTGCAAGAGGCTCCTAAAACAAGAAAGACAACAAATAATAGCCTGGCAATACTTACTGTTCTCTTATGGGACCCTGGTCCATATATTCGTTCTTACTAGATAAGATACAGAGACGATAGGATCTCGACTTCTATACCAATGAGGTGGTCGACTGATATTGGTTGATCATCTCACTAATTTCATGTTATTTTTTTACCCTCACATATAGAAATTACTAAATGGAAACAGCAGTTCCGAAAGTGGTAATAGTTTTAATACTTAGATGTTTTAGCTATTGAAATGTGACGTCACGAAACTTAGGACCTCTCACAGCCCTTGTCACACAATGTCACATTTCGTCCACTTCCCCCCCACTAATGGCGAATAATATTAGATAGATAAATTGTGTCTCCAATCAAGTCTTTCCTTTTCTCATTCTCTTTCTTTGACTTTCTCTTTTTTTGTTTTTTCCTCTTTTACTTTTAATTTTTTTTCTGCTATCCTTATAACATAAATATTATTGAACAGCTGATGCATAAAAAAATATAGCTTTTTCTAAACATATTTATCTTTTTTTAATCAACAATAGATTTATTTATTCATCCAATTTTCTCTGGATGGGAATTTGCCTGTAGTTTTATAGATAACATAGCTAGATATAATTCTAGCATAACTTTCTGTACATTTTTAAAAACGGTTTTTAATTTTAAAATTTCTACTATCTTGTCACAAATAAACACCCTTGATAGGTAGACTAGACATAGTTGTCAGAAGAGACTCAGAAGAATAATTAATTCCGTCTTTCTAGCCCCTCTATTCACCTCTCCGAGTCACGATTGTTGCAGAGTTGGGTATTAACAAAAAATTACAAAAAACATTTTATGTAACCCATATATATTGACATTCATACGATAACATTTCAAGCTCATTTCGAATTTAATTGTTTAATTCTATAATGAGGATTTAAGGAATATAATTGTTTTTTTTTTAAGAATCTTTAAACTGCGTTTCTAAATCGTTTAGTTTAGCTAATGAGAGGAGTTCGATATTTTAGTACCTCTATGGTCCAAAAATAAGGTAACGATAAAAATTACAAGCCTTTTAGTGTCAACTCACACAGTCAAATAATTGGGTTCATCTTTTCTGACACAATTTTATTGGGAATCGAACCCATGTATAATAAGCTTTGACGATATATAATACCTTCTTTTTCTTCTATTTTCAAAGTTTCAAAACATATATATTTTCTCGAATTGTAAGCGTTTACAGCAAAATACACGTACTCTAAAACTGTTTAATATTTCACTGCAGTTTCGATTTAAGGCCTTATTCCTAAAATACTTAGGTCTAAATTTGCTTAAAATACTTTATAAATATAGCAAAAAAAATAGATTATTGAATAAGAGATCTCAATCACAAGTCAAATTTAGACCTTATTACCACAAATATTGAATATAAAATCACACAAAAGGCAACACAGCGTCAAACACATCGATTTTGAACGCCAATACATTACCTTTACTTATGGGTGAACCCCATGGAAGAAAAACTTATAAGCTATACAAAATCCAATCGCTCAAACTCATGCGCATAATCAAAAGTGAATCTATACTATCGCATTGTGCATTCACACAACAATCAAAAAAAATTAATCGTTCAAAAAGAAAAAACTTCAAATAAAATAAACCTCCACCATAAATTAATCAGCACACTTAAAATCCTAACTGTTAGTAGAAAAGAAGAACGTAAGAGAAAACAAAACTGATTCTTTTTTAGTTATTTTTTTTCTGCTGAAATATATAGGATATTTTCAAAATACCTCAAACTCATTTTCAATATATCATCACCAGTGATCACCCGACACCACTTGCTATAACATAATATATAAACGTATAATAAAAAAGCAAAAAAATAAATAAAAATATATATTAAAAAGTTCATATTACATACTTTTCACTTGAAGGTATCGTGTCGGTGGAGAGATCTTGTGTGAGAGGATTGTGTTTTGGACAACTCATCAACGAAGCTACGCTCCAGTCTTCACTAGATTGTCTGTGGTACACTGAAAGAAAACAAAATCCGTTATCCATCCACAGTCTTTACTAGTCCACTGCTGGACATAGGCCTCTCCTTAGAAAGGAGGTTTTAGCCTACTATACCACGCTGGCCAGACGGGTTAGTATAGGGTTTGTTTCAAGTTTTCCTTCTCCTTGCAGTGCTGGTGTCCTGCGTAGTTTGCTCCCTTAGTCGCCTCTTACGACACCCACGGGATGAATAGGGGTGGTGACACTCTGTATTCTTAATCCGTCACCACACACAAATTCGTTATAGTAGGATAAAAACAGGTAGTACAACTAAAATATTAGTCAGTAGGAAAGTGATACCTTGGCACAAATGGGCCGGCTCCACAGAAAACCGCTATTAAGCAACGGATCCTTCCCCCTTCCACTTAATTTTGGGAGGAGGGGGGGGGGGGGGGAAAGGTGTACAGGACGGCATCGCACTGAAGGCCGATTCTCGTAATAAAAGTTCGGTCACATTTAAACTTACGATGTCACAACTGTCATAAAAGGTATTTTCGTAGTAAAATAGTAAAGTATTACTAAGACTACTACCGATACAATTTTCGGTTACAATACGATATAATCACATTACAGTCAACGTTGGAAGCTTAACACTTTACTACGAAAACACCTTTGATGACAGTTGTAAGATTGAAAGTTGATCGGAACTGAATTGATAGCGAACTTTTATTACGAGAATTGGCGCCCTCTGGTAATTTTAAGTTGTAGATTCACATAGTAGGTAGTCACTAGTCATCAGACGACCCGTCAGCCCTTCCCCCCCCCCCCCCCCCCCCCCTCCGCCTTTGCCATAAAACTGTTAAAATAAGTTACGTTATCGTTTTTTCCATCTCAAAAAATACCCAACGCAATTAAAGAAGTTTTCACTTTAAAATGTAATCAATGATAAAAAGAATTTTGTTTGATTTTTATGACGTCTTTGACGATCTATCACAATCACATGTGAAATCACTGTGACTAAAACCAATCATTTCATCAAATGAATATAATTTAAAAGTAGCAATAATTTCCATGTTTAGTGTGAGATTGGGACTAATCCCACCCACACGCCCATCACTGTAACTCCTGTACACCAGGATCCACAGCAGTGACCCGCGAACACACCGAGTTATGACACTCGGGAAGTCCCAGGAAGAAATTAAACTGTCTTGGAACCCGCAACGAAATTAATCAGAAGAAAATTGGAGGAGTTGGAAATATAGTAAATCCACTTCCCTCCTTAGCAAAGCGGGAGACAAAATGAAGTAAAATGGGCATACACCCTTTTAAACAGGGAAGCACCACGGCCACAAAATATTACGGGTCCTACGTGAGCTATATTTAGTGTGAGATATATATTATTCTACTTACATGGACAGTAGAGTATCTCTATAAGAATTAAGGATCTATACTTACTTTTCCTCTTAACAGTATCCCCATCACAACTCCTATTGACCTCCGCACTGAAATTGATAACCTTCGGCATGGAGCGAACGCTCAGATCATCGTCAGCATCCAGGTCTACAATTGGCGAATCATCGTAGACCCCGGACCTTCGACAGGGCTCCCGTCCTTCTGCGGTCAATCCTCGCTGCCGGTTGGCGGCCTGAACGGGGTCCTCGTGCAGGAGCGAGTGCGGTCTGGGCGCAGCGGGGACGCTGAGCTCTGAGAGCAGGCTGCGGGGTCGGACGTGGTTGGTGGAGCGAGATTGCGACAATTGCGCTTGTTCAGCTAACACCCGCCGGCCACCGCGGCCCGTGTGCTTGGACGCGATACGCTGTGGTACGTTTGTTATGGCCTGGGGAAGAACACTAGTATTTAAAACATAAAACGGTGTAATGGATCTATGGACCTCCGATCGGAACGAAGGTCCTTTCGCTTTTTGGTAGACGTTTGCTATACAGCCATTATAATTTATATTATAAAATATCAAGTTAATAGAGTTAAATTGAAAAATTTATGATAAACAGAATGATCTGGGATGATGGGAGCGAGACCGAAAAAGGGGTAATAAGACTTTTTGCCGACACTTCTTGCGGAACTTCAAGCCGACCGGGGATCCATAGACCCCTTACGCCGTTTCCTTTATTAAAATACGGGGTAAAGGGAACACCACTCATGTTAAAATGTTGCTGGTCTATGAGGTTGTAAAAAGCGAATGCGAAAGCATAATCTATCCTCTTGAGTTTCAGGCGTTCACAAGAGGAGGTAATCACTTACCATTACGTGGCCCGTCTGCTCGTTTGGCTCCTATACCATAAAAAAAGGTTGCCAATAATAAATTGTAACAGAACTATTTCAAATTTTCATTAAAATATTTGTTAACTCTAGAAAATTGACACCCCTCATAATATTTTTAACTATCGTACATAGTTTTTATTTTTTTCTGTATACCAATACAATAGAAATTGAGATATTTTTTTTTTTCTTTTTTTCCTCGAGTAGTCATAAGCTGGCACATCATCACCGCCACCATCACAAATTATCGTTGAATTTTGGCACACCTTTATACGATCTGACATTAGCTAGTTATGACGTCACGCCATAGTATTTCATACAAAAATGTACCGCGTTTATCGTTTTGACATTTACTAAAAATATACTGCTTTGATTTGACAGTCATCTACCCAATTTCCGACCTTAGGAATGTAATCGTTTTCGGTGTAACTTCCATGGCAATTCATCAATCATCAACAGCCTTTAATAGTCCACTGCTGGATACAGGCCTCTCCTTAGAAAGACGGATTGGGCCTTCTATACCACGCTGGCAAGACTTATAGGGTTTCTTTCAAGTTTTTTCTTTGCCGTGTTGTCTGTTGTCTAGTCAGCTCCCTTAGTCGGCTCTTATGACACCCACGGGGTGGTGACACTCCCAATTTTTAATCCATCACGATACGCAGTCTGAACAGGTTATATCATTAATTAGCGCCAGTAAAGAGGAATGTGGGAACTTACCCCATCATCGTCCTCAGGGTTGAGACAGTGCGTAGGTGGGTTGGAGTACTTGTGCAGCAACTCTATCGCGAGTCTTTTGCTCATGTCTTGTTGGAAGAACGCGTGCTGGATAAGACAATAATATAATATAAAAGATATAATATGAATAGTATTCATTTAGTGACATAAATGCGTAATTTTAATATTTCATTTAAACGTGAAGATAGATCAAAATTACTTTTTTTTATTAACTGATTACAAAAATACTGAAAATTAAAGTTGCATATTCTTCTAATTTCATGAACGTTTGTGTTTTTCCAATGGGTAGAAGACGATACTAATATGATAATGAAGACAGAATATTTGTAAGATACATAATTATTTAATGTTAATGACTAGGTTATTTATTTATTTATTTAATGATCGTGGAAGACTTACAGCTAAAATAACATTTTAGTGAATGATATAATAATGTGTCAGCATCAGTGTGTGGACAACATCATAACTAAGTGTATGGACAGACATGGTTTCTACTCCTTAAGCTTTCTTAATAATAGAATACATTTTAAATCCAATAACAAAAAAATTTGAAACTAAATTGTTAAATCAAAAATTGTTATCAAGCTATACTAAAAATAACATTGTTTAATAATAATATTTCGGACAACCTAAACCTAACCTAACACACAACGCCATCTAGTTTCAAACTAAGCAGAGCTTGTACTATGAAAGCTAAATTGTACATTAGCTGCTCGAGACAGCACTTTTCGTTATCAATATTTTTGGTTCCCAGTAGTAGAACCTATTACTGTTTGATAGGTAACTTTATAGACTTTGTGCCCACAATAATAGTTCCATACAACTGTCAATCAAACCCACTACAAATACATAACACTAAACTTGTTAATGCTCAATATTTTACTATAATAATTATGTATGTATTTAGCAAAATATAAGTATGTATATCAGCAGTTCAGTTACGTAGTACAGGCCCTGCTCAGTTTGGGATCAGACAGCCGTGTGTGAGATGTCTCTGGTTATTATTATTACCTGTAATAATTTATCAGCTGTTGGCCGCTTCTTTGGGTTCTTGGTGAGCGAGAGTTTCAAGAAGGAGTGGAAGACAGCGGACCACCGCTCACGCTCCTTTAGCTGCGGTGGTTTGAACCCGGACTTGGACATGAGGAACAGCACCCGCATGGGATGGAGTTCGAACATTGGCGGTTGGAGTTCTGCTAGCTCTGGATAGTAGGAAATTTTTGTACATCACGTCTATGAAACGTTTTGTACTTTACACTTACTTTACTACATTTTTTTGGCGATCAGACCTCAAGTGTGGCTAGTCATTTGTAGTGATTACTTTTATAACAAAAATTATATAATATTTTACAGGCTGTTGATGATGACTATATAAACAAAATTTATATAATCATCATCAACAGCTTATAACAGTCCACTGCTGGACATAGGCCTCTCCTTAGAAATAAGGTTTTGGCCTTCTATACCACGGTGACCAGACGGGTTGGTATAGCGTTTGTGTCAAGTTTTTCATCTCTTTACAGTGCTGTTGTCCTGCGTAGTTTGCTTCCTTAGTCGGCTCTTACGACACCCACGGGATGATTAGGGATGGTGACAATCCGTATTCTTAATCCGTCACCACACGGATATTACTTTCTATAAATGTAACTAATGATGGTTTCTGTGCGTTCTTTTTGTGTTTTTGTTATTAGTGAATTGTTTTCCTCATGTAAGTTAATTTATTTTAATTCTTAGTGAGATAAAATCTTTAATCGTAACCCGTGTTATTACGTCAACACTTGATCTTGTTTTTCCGTTTTCTCTCCAAATTAGACCCATCTTTGTTGGTAGCTTTTAATGAGGACGATATTTCATCAACAGGTGTGGGAATAGGGCGTCCTAATATTGTATATTTATGGGATCTTGGAAGACCAACAGCTTTACAAATTAATTTAATATTGTATAGGTTACATTCAGACATTTTACATATACATATGGAAACAGCAAAGTGATTGAATTGTTAGACATTGATATTATTTATCATCATCATCAGCCTATCGCAGTCCACTGCTGGACATAGGCCTCTCCCATTGCACGCCGCTTAGATCGATTTTGCGCTTCTTGCATCCAGCTCCTGCCAGCCATCTTGTGCAAATCGTCACTCCACCTGGCCCCCATTAATAAGTGACGATATTGTGGCAAGTATTACACTGGACACATCATCATCATCATCAACAGCCTTCAACAGTCCAGTGCTGGACATAGGCTTCTCCTTAGAAAGGATTTTTTTGTCCTACTGTTGGTTACTTTGGGTTTGTTTTAAGTTTTCCTTCTCTTACTAGACCTAGTAAAGACATATTGGCATCACAGATGTATAGGCATCGTTTATCTTTTCTTATTTTGGTGATTGCACCAGGACCATCATGTGTATAATAACTCACCAATAGCAGTGATCCCGCATGCCCAGATATCACAAAGCTGGTTGTAACCACCCTTGCGCTCAACAGCTGCCACCTGAAAATTATAAGTTATAATTAATAATATAATCATGACGGTAATCTGCATTTATAGTTTTTCAAGGTAATTTTTTTTCATTATATTTTATAATGATTGGAAATCGTTTTTTACCATACAACAGCTTCAAAGTTTTTCTCAATATAAATACAAATAATTTTGGTAATCTAATTGACATTATTATTTGGTGGTAGTACGCCATCTTATTTGGTGTCCTTTCCCATTCATACCATTAGGCACCATTTCTATAGTACTCAGCGCAGCAGAAAGCGCCGTAGTGACCGCTTAAACTTTATCCGTGGCATCTTGATCAAAAACTTTAATCCATACGTACCTCAGGAGCCATCCAATACGGTGTGCCGATGAAAGACTTCCGTTTGTTAATGGTGGCTGTGATCTGCGCTGACACCCCAAAGTCAGCCAGCTTCACATCTCCGCATTCAGTCAGAAGTATGTTGGCACCTTTTATATCACTGAAACATGATGGAGAAAACATTATATCAACTAGAAATATTGACTGTACAACACATTGGCGTGTAGAACATTTCTTATACAAAATTGACATGGATTAATCCGTGTGGTGACGGATTAAGAATACGGATTCACCGGCTCTATTTATTCCGTGGATGTCGTAAGAGCCGCGTAAGGGAGCAAATAACAGCACTGCAAAGAGAAGTAAAACTTGACACCACCAATCCTTCTGGCCAGCGTGGTGTAGTAGGCCAAAACGTCCTTTTGTATGAGAGGCCTATTTCCAGCAGTGGACTATTAAGAGCTGCTGATGATTGATGATTTGCCATGGAAGTTACACAAAAATCGATTGCATTTCTAAGGTCGGCAATGGCGTAGATCACTTTCAAATCAAGTCAGCATACTTTTATTAAATGTCAATTAAGTATTGGTTATGAAATACTATAGTGTAGGTATTTTCAAATCATTTATATTCAATTATTTGAAGATAAAAAGTAAAAAATCGTCAAAAATTTATTTAGGCTGGTTTTAAGGCTTTAAGATGTTTTATTTAATCATCAACAGCCTTTAATAGTCCACTGCTGGACATAGGCCTCTCCTTAGAAAGGAGGCTTTGGCCTACTATACCACGCTGGCCAGATGGGTTGGTATAGGGTTTGGGGTGCTGGCTAGAAAACCTCCCCGTGGTGCACCCTGGAAACGCTGGCGATGGTACTGTTTCCTCCTTGTCCTCTTGGAGGAGAGGATTATCGCCAGCGGCCAATATTCTAGCAGAAGAGGCAGCCGTTCATCGGCTCTCGGGCAAGGCCTGGTCCAGCAGGGTGGGCGTGTCTGCCGGTTGCCCTGCTGGCTCTTCGCTCTTCGGAGCATGGAGGAGGAAACCTCGGTACAAAACCTGATGGCGGGGCCCTGTAGGGGCCACAGTTTCTCCGCTGATAGCGGTGGAGAAAGGAGGACGGGCTCGGCGTGTACTCACACTACCACCGAGCAGGTAGGGGGACGTAGTCTCCCTGTCAACCGTCGGCATATCGCAATCCCGAGAAGAGCGCTGTGGTTAAGTCTCGCGGCTCTGATCGAGGGCGAGGGTCTTGGCTTAACCGCCCGGACCGCGAGGAAGATAACCTCTCTAAAAAATTCCCCGAATCCCGTGTTCTGGTGCGTGGCCAGGGGATGCATGGCTGATGGGAAGTTCAGTCGCGAGCGCACTCCAAGCCGAGGTACCTGCGGACCCCTCGGTTGGGTTAAAAACTTACGCTTGCCCGGGTAATGGGGGATCTCTGCCCGGGTGGACCTTTAGTTCTCCCCCACTCGTGGGATTTACTATGGATAACATAAACAAAAACCAAAAGAAAACGATCGGACAAACTCAACGAAAACAGGCAAGCCTAACGGAAAAGGAAGCACAGCGAAGGAAGGAAAAGCAGAACAGTGGAGTGGATGGGTCGTCCACTGAGGGTGAGATGGTGTCAGGAACGCCCATCTCGATGGGGCTCCCAGAAGTCAGTCTGACTCTGATCTCTGGGAGCCGAAGAGCATCGGATCGGCTGCGTTCCGGATCCGCCGCTTCGTCGGATGGCGCGGAGGCCATGGAAGCGGAGCGGAGCGACAGCCGGAAACGCGGACGCTCAGGGGACGTGGAAACCGACACGTCCGGCGAAATGATGCCACCAAAGGTGGCAAGCAGCCGCCGAGGGAGGGCACGCAAAACGGCCCCGGTCTCGACCCCGTCAGGCTCCGCGTTCTCAAACGCGGAGTCCTACAGGAGCGTACGAGTTGACGGCGAGGCCGTAGCGGAGGAGGAGATCGCGGATCTCCTGCTCAAGGTTCGGGAGCCGGTGGGGGGAAATGCCCCCCAGGCTCCCGTGTCCGTGCAGGAGAGGGCGAAAGCGGCGGTGGCCGTCATCGACAAGGTGGCCACCAAATCCGTGAACCTTAAGGGCTCTTTTGTGAGGGCCCTTAAGGACTCCTCCTCCGCTTTGTCGGAGGTCGTGGAGGGCCTAGTGGGCGACGTATCGCGCCTGCAGGTGGCCAACGAGAAGCTGACGGAGCGGGTGAACGAGCTGAGCGCTCAGTTCGCCCGCTTCCAGGCGAACCTCCCCGAGCGGGAAGCCCCGTCCGCGTCCCAGCCTGCCCCTACTACCAACTCAGGGGCATTTGACTCCCAACTGCGAGAAATCCTCATCGCAGTTGGGAATATGCTGGACGGACGCCTGGCTGGCCTGGAGGCGAGACTGCCCCCTGCGCCGATTATGCGCCCCCCGCTCGCGTCGGCACAGCGGCCTAAGGCCGCCGCTCCGACCGCGCTCCCCGTGGTGGGAGGCCGCGTTTCTTACGCGGCGGCGGCGTCTGCCCCTACTCCATCGGCTCCCCAAAAGCCGAGGAGGGGGGCCAAGGCACCGGCCCAGGCGCCGGCCAAGGCACCGGCTAAGGCGCCGGCCAAGCCGCGGCCGTCTTCAAAAAGGCCCGGGACAGCCTCGCCAACGATTTTGGAACGGTGGGGGTCAGGATGCGCCTCGCCCAGACGGGAGCTCGAGTCCTCGAGTTCCCTGGAGCTGAAGGCGCAAAGACGGCGGACACGTTTGCCGAGAAGCTGCGGGGACTCTTTACAGCCACGGATGGTGTAAAGATCGCCAGGCCTACTAAGTGCGCAGAGCTGCGCATCTCGGGCCTGGACGACTCCGTAACGGCCGAAGATGTCCGCGCTGTAATCCGGGAGAAGACGGGGTGCAGCGCGGACAACGTCAGGGTCGGCACCATCTGCCCCGGTCCAGGAGGGCTTGGCGCCGTGTGGGTCAGCTGTCCCGTAGCGTCGGCCAAAGTATTGGCCGACGCCGGCAGGCTGCTCATCGGTTTCGTGAGCGCCAGGATCACAGTCCTGGCGGCGAGACCGATGAGGTGCTACAAATGCCTAGCATCGGGACACACGCGCGTCAAGTGCGACAGCTGTTTCGACTGCGGCGGACTGTGCTTCCGCTGCGGTCAACCGGGGCATAAGGCGGCAGAATGCTCTGCCGCCCCTCACTGCCCAGCGTGTGCGGCGGGCAATAAGCCCGCCAATCACCAGATGGGGCAGAGAGGCTGCAAGCCTCCCCGCAGTTCTCGGCAGACGTCAGGGGCTAGCCAGTCGACCCAGGCTGCCTCTGATATAGTACGTGCGTCGTCGTCGTCGCCCATGGAGGAGGTTGTAGAGACGATCCAGTAATGGATCAAGTCTCCAACCTCCTGGTCCAGACGAACCTGAACCACTGTGCCGCGGCGCAGGATCTCTTCCTGCAAACCATGGCACAGTGGTCGATAGGTGTTGCCGTAGTCGCGGAGCCCTATTCTGTCCCTCCCCGTCCAAACTGGATGGGTGACTGGGACGGCTCCGTGGCAGTCGTCGGTTCCACGACGGCTCATTCCCCGCCCTTGTCGCTAAGAGACAAGGGCACTGGATATGTTGCCGTCGAGTGGGGGGGGATCACCATATATGGTGTCTATTTCTCCCCCAACCGGAGTTTGAACGACTTCGAGGTTTTCCTAACCAGCTTGGAGACCTCGATACGGCGACTAGCGTCTGGGCACGTCCTTGTGCTGGGGGACTTCAACGCAAAGTCCATTGCGTGGGGTTCCCCCAGGACGGACGCCAGGGGCGAGGCCGTAGAGGAGTGGGCGGCCTCGGTGGGCCTCTGTCTTCTAAACAGAGGCTCCACCAACACGTGCGTGCGACAGCAGGGGGGGTCGATAGTGGACCTCTCGTTCGCTACCCCTGCCCTCGCCGCACGAGTAAGGAACTGGCGTGTCCTGGAAGAGGTTGAGACGCTCTCGGATCATCTGTATATCCGATTTGAGCTCTCCCGGACCCAGGACTCCAGTAGGGGTCACGTGGCGCGGCGTTTATCCCGCTTTCCGCGGTGGGCTGTTGCCAGACTAAACCGGGACCTACTAGAGGAGGCAGCCATAATTCACTCGTGGCTGTCTCCTCAGGCTCCGACCGAGGAGGTCGACGTGGGGGCTGGCCGCTTTCGCGATGCGATTACGCATGTATGCGATGCGGCCATGCCCCGCGTTCGAGGTCGTCGGCCTCCAAGGAAGGAGGTCTACTGGTGGTCCCAGGAGCTGGCGGACCTCCGTGCGGCCTGTACACGTGCCCGGAGGTCCTACACGCGCAGTCGGCGGCGTCACCGTGGAGACGGTGAGGAGGACCGGCTTCATGAGGAGTACCGACGGGCGCGGAAAACTCTGAAGCTGGCCATTAGCCGCGCCAAAGAAGAAAAAAGACAGGAGATGCTGGAGAGTCTTAATCGTGACCCCTGGGGTCGCCCTTACCGCGCGGTGCGACAAAAGCTCCGCGCGTCGGGCCCCCCCCTTACGGAGACTCTCCAGCCCAGCTTCCTGCGAGAAGTGGTTGAGGGCCTTTTCCCACAACGGGCGGAACACACTCCCCCGTCGATGGCCTCCTTGGCCGGAGACGACGGGGAGCACGGGGAGGATAATGTTCCGCCCGTCCGGGAATCGGAGGTAGGGGCGGCTGTTCTACGGATCCGTTCCAAGAACACCGCCCCTGGGCCAGACGGGGTACCGGCCCGAGTGCTGGCCCTGGCCCTCAACCACATGGCAGACCGCCTCGGGGAGGTGTTCGACGCTAGCTTGGCGTCGGGACGCTTCCCTGAGTGCTGGAAGAGCGGGAAGCTGGTCCTATTGAGGAAGCCGGGACGGCCTGCCGATTCGGTCGCGGCCTATAGGCCCATCGTGCTGCTGGACGAGGCGGGCAAATTGTTTGAGAGGGTTCTTTCTGCCCGCATCGTCCGGCACCTCTGCGAGGTGGGCCCCGATCTGTCGGACGCCCAATTTGGTTTTCGGGCGGGGCGTTCGACGGTCGACGCCGTGTTGCGCCTGAGGGCCGTGACCGAAGAGGCCGTGAGCTGTGGCGGCGTGCTGTTGGCGGTGTCACTGGACATCGCCAACGCATTCAATAGTCTGCCATTCAGCTGCATCAGGGAAGCACTCCACTATCATGGGGTGCCAAAGTACCTGAGGCGGCTGGTGGCAGACTATTTAGAGGAGCGTACCGTCGTGTACGAGGACCGAGAAGGTAATTTGAGGTGTCGGCCCATGTCGTGCGGTGTTCCACAGGGGTCTGTTCTTGGACCCCTCTTGTGGAACATAGGGTACGACTGGGCCCTTCGCGCCGATTTCCCCCCCGGGCTGGGTGTAATCTGTTACGCAGACGATACCCTCGTGACAGCCCGGGGGGCAAACTTCCAAGAGGCGGCGCGCCTGGCCACAGGGGGAGTCTCCCTGGTGGTCGGGCGCATTGAGGCGCTGGGCTTACGGGTGGCCCTAGATAAGACGGAGGCCCTGTTATTTCATGGGCCCCGTCGTGGTCCACCCCCTGGCGCCTCCATCGTGGTCAACTCGGTCCTCGTACCGGTTCGGGCCCAGATGAAATATCTGGGCCTGATCCTCGACGGGAGGTGGCTCTTCGACGAGCACTTCCGACAGCTTGCTCCAAAGCTGGTCGGCGCTGCGTCTGCCCTAGGGCGACTCTTGCCCAATATGGGTGGACCCAGCGTCGCGACAAGACGGCTGTACACGGGGGTTGTCCGGTCAATGGCGCTGTACGGTGCACCGGTGTGGGCGGCGGCTCTGACCGCCCAGAATAGGGTACGCCTCTGGCGCCCTCAGAGGGTAATGGCGGTCAGAGCCATACGCGGTTACCGCACCGTTTCTACGGAGGTGGCATGCGCGTTGGCCGGAACTCCCCCGTAGAATTTGGAGGCGGAAGTGCTCGCCGAAGTTTATCGGCGAGTGGCTGACTTCCGGGCGGAGAGCGGATTTCGCCCTCCGCCCGAGGATGTGCGCGAGTGGCGCGAAGCCGCTCGCCGAGCCACGATGGCTCGTTGGTCGTTCCGGCTGGAGACTCCACGCGCTGGCTTCGCCGCCGTGGAGGCTCTCCAGCCGGTCATCGCCGAGTGGGCAGGGCGGCAGCACGGGACCCTTTCCTTCCGACTGACGCAGGTGCTTTCCGGGCACGGTTGCTTACCGGAAGGTACCTGCACACGGTCGCTAGGAGGGAACTGAGTCCCGCCTGCCACCACTGCGACTGCAGTGAGGACTCGGCCCAGCACACGCTGGCGGTCTGCCCCGCATGGGCGGCGCAGCGCCGGGCCCTCACTGCAGTCATCGGAGTGGATCTCTCGCTACCGGCCGTAGTACGCTCCATGGCCGGTAGCGACAGTTGTTTTACCGCGGTCGCAACCTTCTGCGAGGTAGTAATCTCGCGGAAGGAGGCGGCGGAGAGGGCCCGGGAGGACGACCTCCACTCGGACCCGATCCGCCGCCGGCGAACCGGGCGGCGGAGGCCTGCCTACCACAGCCTTATGCCGCCCTGAGTGTGGCCGCGGGTGGACGGGGTGGGTTTCCCCTCCACCCGCATTAGTTTGGCCAGCCGCGAGGGGGCGGCGTCCGCGTGTGCCGGACGTCGCCTAAAGAGAGGAACATCAACAGTAAAACGGAGCCCGCACCAGGAGCGGGCTGGCGCTAGGAGGGGTCCGGATGTCTTAACAACAGCTGTTCCCGGATCCCTCCTGTTACAGGCGCAGAGTGGCACACCGTGTGGTTTTAGTCGGTCCGAGTCCGACACACCACCCCGCCGCAAACCCCGGAGGGGTGACGGTCCGAGGGGATTTCCACACGTTAAAAAAAAAAAAAAAAAAGGGTTTGTCTCAAGATTTCCTTCTCTCTGCAGTGCTGTTGTTCTGCGTAGTTTTTTCCCTTAGTCGGCTCTTACGACACCCCAGGGATGAATAGGGGTGGTGACACTCTGTATTCTTAATACGTCACCACACGGAGAAATATTTAATGATACAGTCGAAATAATTTATTTTTAAAGTTAGGAATCTACCCTATTTTGTACTACCACTAAAACTCACCGATGCATCTTTCCCATGCTGTGTAGGTACGAGAGTCCTGTGAGGGTCTCTCGGCACATATACGCTATCTGGAGTTCTGTCAGTGGACCAGTTACGTGATAGATGTCCTGGAAATTATTTAATGCATATTTAAAAAATAAATTACTTTTTCTTATAAATTCCTTCTGTTTTAGTTTTTCTAAATTACAATTTACTTTTTATAGATAAAACCAGCTGACCCGCTCAACTTCGTCTGCGGGTGAAAAATATATATATATAAAATACATTACAGGGTGAAAAATACATTAAAATCGGACGAGCCGTTTCGGAAGAGTGGAACCACAAACAACGTCACACGAAATATTTATACTAAATTTTGGATGTGCAATAAACGCAATTTACAAGTGAACCATTTGGTGTTGCCAATATGTGGTGATTAAGCTACCATTAAACTAAAACTGATCACCACGCGGCCGTGTGACTGTTAAAAAGTGTATACCAACTTAATAAACTTATTTCTGAAAATATCAGTGAAATTTGACAAAAGGTAAACGGTTATGTAATAATATGCTACTCTCAGGAGCGGAGTGACCATTACGCTGCTTAAACTGCGGGTATTGAGCAGAACAAACAAATATATTTGCGACTAGGTTTTTCTACACAAACCTGCAAGCTTCCTCCTCCACAATACTCCATCGAGATCCATAACTTATCTCGTCTGAGATAGGAGCCGTAGTATGCGACTATATTGGGGTGCCTGCAGTCCTTCATCATCAGAATCTCCTGCTGGATGATGGCAAAGTCATCACCCGGCTCCAGCTTGATCACCTTGATGGCGGCCAGCTCGCCATTGCTGTTAAGTCTTTTCGCCTGGAAAAGAAATATTTGCATTGAAATGATGTCATAGGCAAATTTTTAACTGTCTATTGGAATTCTCTATTTCAGCCTTCCTGGGTGTAGATCCAGGGAGTTTCTGGCAGAATGTTTAATCCCACAACTAAGACCACATTTATGGTGTTCAATTTTAAAATCTTCTTCATCACTTTAGCTAGAATTATTTAGCTCCTTAGAGACTTGATGTTAAGCATGAGAGACATCTTAAAGATACAATAGTAATTCAGTTACATAATTAGACCGAATGTGAATTATTATAATAAAAGGGTTTATTAAAAAATATAATATCTTGTGTGAATTTAACGGAGCTAAAGAAGTAAAATTAATATTAAATGTAAACCAAAGTCTTTATGAGACTTATTGTTATAAATTGAGTTTTCATTTCAATTTAGCCCAAGATCCCAGCCTCCCGTAGTTACTTAATCCTGTTAAGTACCCCAGAAGTAACTTTCGAACAATTTTGACACACACGAAGTGTCAACACTTTGCTATTTAATCACCTTTATTTAAAAAATGGTACAAAAAATTTTCTTTACTAATTAACGTATCGATTGAAGAGAGGTAGGGTAAGATCACCCCCACAGTAGGTAATTTACTTAAGACTACCAATATTCTTATATCATAAAGACGCTTTGTAAGCCAGCGAACCGTTTTCGGGAGTATTACTTCCAGTTGACATAGTTAAGACGCTTTGCCTAACACCGTTTTAAAGAACCAAGGCTGTGGAAGAATTAAGTTAAATATGCTTCCTTTAAAACACAAAAGCGATACAGGTTAATTTACGAGTATAACATATTGATGTGTTTCTTAATTAGAATAATCTTCTTAATGTATACGAGTATATATATAAATACTAGATTTTCTTAAAATCCTTTCTTAGCTGACCTCTACTCGGTGAAAAGAATATTCCTACCAAATTTGAAGTCTTTAGCTCTAATGGTTCCAGAGATATCGTGATGAGTGACTATATACGTGGAAATCTCTTATATATATATATATATATATATATGAGGGATATAATACAGTCTTTTATTTTCTCTGTTCTGTCTTATCTATCTGTTGCTTGATTGTGTACAAATTATATGTTAATATTAATAAATAAAACAGGAAACTCTGGGTCGATTTTTATGGTGTTTAATATTTTTGGAATTTATTCAGCTCCGAATAGCAGAATAAGTATTTGAATGTTTTAAAAATGCCCAAAATAAATAATAATAAAGAAAATTAATATTCTTATGTACGGATGTAAGAGCAGTAACCGATAAGCATTTGAAACTGTAAGGAACTAGGAGATAAAAAGAAACAAAAGGCAGAAGTCGTCAATCCAAATGTTTTTTTGAGTATATATTTAATTGCATCGATTCAAATAAAGCTTGTTACAATGTTTTCTTGATTTAGGCATTTTGAAGTCAGTGATACTATCTTGAAAAGTTGATATTAAAATTTTCGCAAATAGGAGGTTGTAAAAATGGCAGAAAACCAACACTTTTAAACAATATACTAGACGATTCTATTTTGTCTACAGTAAACCAAACGTACGTAGTACGTAAATACGTAAACGTACGTACGTAAATCGTTAATGACAATTAAAGGTATTATAATTTCACCAATAAAAAAATTATAGTTTTAATAAAAAACTAAAAAACACGCTTTCTATAGAAAACCAAACTAAAAAATATAAAATAAATTTGAAAAAAAAGCGTTGGGTGCCTGTTGTCAATAGTAAAAAGCACCCCACCCCATTTTTTTAAAAATAGTGTGTTATCGGTCCTCGATATGTCTACGAAGTTTGAACGAATTCTGACCGTTTAAAATCAGTCAAAATCTCGCCGTCGGAAGGGAAAGGAGTCGGTTACAAACATACAAACAAACATACAAGTGAGGCTAATATAAAGCGTGTAAAAAAAATAGAATTATTAGACAAGAATAAATTAGAAAAATAGGGGCATAATTAGATCACTATTATTTCTCTAATTATAATTACTACTATTTAAGGCCAAATAAAACACGGGGACCTTAAGGCAGAGACAGACAGCTGCCAAACGGGACCAATATTACATCTTCTATTTTGAAGCACTCTACGAGTAGCACCTGCGTAATTTCGTGCGTCTCTCAAAACGAATTAATTTTCCCCGTTTTTTTGAACATTTTCATTGATACTCGGCTGCTATTGGTCGTGGCGTGATGTTATATAGACTATATATAGCCTTCCTCGATAAATGGGCTATCCAAAACTATTTTTTTTTAATTCGAACCAGTACTTCCTGAGATTAGATTAGTACAACCAAACTCTTCCGGTTTATAATATTAGTCTAGATTACAGCTCACGCCGTCGGCTGTCTGCCAAGACCTTTAAATTGCCGGGGGGTCACTAATTTTGTTATGAGCTTCACACGATGCGCCTACAAATACGATGTATCGTTGACCCCAAGTTTTATTTAACCTCACACACACATTTGTAGCACACACAGCTGTTTATACACACGCCCTCTATATAAAGTGGTACATGTGAACAAATACACAGATACACTACCGTTGTGGTTTGATGATTAATCCCGTTAAAATGTTGTTTTTAATTAATAATACAGATAAGTTTCTTTTTGGAGTTTACCGATAGAAGTATCTCGGTAATTATTTTTAATTCTTTAGTTGTTTTAGTCTTTAGTATTTGTTCTGAGTTGTTGAATCAGTCGTTTGCCAGAACCAATCTAAAGCAATTTTTTGTCCGTTTGTCCAAAACCTACAACACCATATGTGGAGAAGTGGATTTGTTTGCTGACAAACTGCCCACTTATAAGAAAGTTGTTTTGAGATTGTTTGAAGCCTTAGCTTTAAGTATTATCCACTTTTCAAATGTTTCCTTTAATTTTGTTACTTACCTTTTAATTGTTTTATTTTATTTTACGTTTACTCGTGCTACTCTCGTTGCATGTTGTGTCACCTTAAAATGCTGTGTATTTATGGTAGTTTTTAGTCAATTTTATTGTTGCATATGCATAAGATATAAGATTTAATGTAACAGCAACTGGTTGTCCTTAATAAATAAAAAACAATAGTTTAAAAAAACTAAAAAACACGCTTATTTAATATTAAAGATTTATTTTCTATTTTTGGTTTTCTATAAAAAGCGTGTTTTTTAGTTTTTTTAAACTATTTTTATTTTTTATTTTAAATTAGTGTAGCACGCACATAGGACATCATCAAGAATTTAAATTTACGAGTATATAGTTTATTTTCAAAGATTATTTTATTTTTGCAAAGTTTTTTTTTAACACAACGCCCGCAGTAGGAATAAATCCTGCGTCGCAGGGGACTTTACAAACATACATAAAACGGACACAAAGAACACCCAGACTTATAACAATAATTAATGGATCACACAAAGTGTCATACCATGTGGGGATCGGACCCACAACACTCAGCTTAGTAGTAAGCGGCGTGGCGACCGCTTAAACCACTACGGCATCCGTGCATTATTATGTTGTGGGTAATGACGCAGAAGCAAAAAGAGCGAAGGATCACCCATCTAAATAATATAATATAAAATATATTATAATATTGTACCACATACACACAACGCCATCTAGTCCCAAACTAAGCAGAGCTTGTACTATGGGTACTAGACAACTGATATAAATACATATATACTTTTTTTTTTGTAAATACATACATATTATACATAGAAACACCCAGACCAAATCAAACATCAAATGTTCATGCACACAAATGTTTGACTTGAGCGGGAATCGAACCCGCGACTTTTGGAATAGCAGTCCGTTACACAAACCACTTCGCCATCCAGTCGTCAATAGCTGACCCGCGAACTTAGGTCTAACAAAAGGAATAAATTATTGGTCGTAGCGTTATATAGCCTACGTCGCCGCGTGTATGTCGTTTATCGCGGTAAAAAGTAGCCCGTTATTCGCTGATAATCTAGCTTTCCATTAGTGAAAGGATTTTTAAAATCGGTATAGTGGTTTAGGCGTGAAAGCGTTACAAACAAACTCATTTTCACATCTATACATAATCTGCCTACCCTTTTCCAAATTTTTATTTGGGGTCGGCGCAGTATGTATGATTTTTCCATTCTACTCTGTCATGCGTCATCTCACTGTTTACTCCCTTCCTAGCCATATCCTCCCTGACGCAGTCCATCCATCTCTTCTTCGGTCTGCCTCTTCTCTTGTACCCTTCAACTCTCATACCTAAAACTTTCTTCGCCACATTTTCCTCATCCCTCCGCATGACATGTCCATACCAAGATAACCTATTACTTCTTAACTTTTCATCCAGTGGCGCTACTTTCAGACTCCCTCGTATATACTCATTCCTAACCTTGTCCATCTGAGTCACACCACACATCCATCTCAGCATTCGCATTTCGGCCACGTTCAGGCGTCTCTCATCCGTTCTCTTAATGGGCCAACTTTCAGAGCCATACAGGACGGCAGGTCTGATAATAGTTTTATAAATTTGTCCCTTCAGTGTTAAGGGGAAACTGGGGTCACAAGTTGTTCCCGTTACCTGCCGCCACTTCATCCATCCCGTATTGATTCGATGCTGTACAGTTCGATCAATCTCACCATCACATTGGAAGAGGGAGCCGAGGTACTTGAAATTGGAGCAGACTGTTATCGCTATCCCATCCAGCGAAATGGTTTCAGGACTGGAGAGACCGCCGAAATCGCAGAACATGTACTCAGTTTTGGTTCTACTGATTTTCAAGCCAACATTCTCCAGCCTTTGCTGCCATTTTTCCAGTCTGCTCTGGACCTCAACCCCATCTTCACCCACCAACACAATGTCATCTGCAAATAGCATGCACCAAGGTGCCTCCTCCTGTATGTCCGATGTCAGAGCATCCATTATCAACAGGAAAAGGTATGGGCTCAGAGCTGATCCCTGGTGCAAGCCCACAGAGACACTAAATTGATCAGTGTTTCCCGTGACCGACCTTACATGAGTGCTAGACTCTC